ATCCATTGATGGACACCTAGGCCAGTACCATAGTTTGGCTATTGTGAATTGTGCTGCTATAAACATGGGTATGCATATAGTATACTGACTTTAATTCTGTAGGATAGATACACAGGAGTGGTATAGCTGGGCCATATGGTGGTTCCATGCCTATTCTTTTGAGAAACTTCCATACTGATTTCCATAGTGGTTGTACTAATTTGCAATTCTGCCAAAAATGTAAAAGTGTCCTTTTTCTTCCCGTCCTCTCTAGCATTTATTATTGTTTGTATTCTTGATGGCTGCCATTCTGACTGGAGTGAGAAGTCTCAGGGCAGTTTTAATTTGCATTTTCCTAATCGCTACAATATTGCACATTTTTTCATATATTTTTGACCACTTGTATTTCTTCTTTTAAGAAATGTCTGTTTAGTTCATTTGCCCATTTATTGTTTATTGGTGTTAAGTTTTTTTTAGTTTTTAATATATCCTAGATATTAATCCTCTGTCAGGAGAGTATTTACCTATCTAGAATATATGTATTCTCTCATTCTGAAAGTTCTCTCTTCACATTCTTTCACACTTAATTGTTTCCTTTGCTTTGCAGAAACTTTTTAATTTGATGTCATTCCATTTATTAGCTCTTGGCATTATTTCCTGAGCTTTAGGGGTCCTATTGATAAAGTTATTGCTTGTGCCCATGTGCTAGAATGTTGACCCTACGTTTTCTTCTAAGAGTTGCATAGTTTCTGGTCTAGTTCTTAGGTCCTTGATCCATTTTAGTAGTTTGTTTGTTTGTTTGTTTTTGAGCAGGGTAAGATAAATAGCTGAGTCTCATTCTTTTACCCATGGATATCCAGGTTTCCCTAACACCATTTGTTTAAAAAACTATCTTTTCTCTAATGTTACATTTTTGACAACTTTGTCAAAGATCAGATCACTATATCTTCCTGTATTAGTCTCTGTACCTTTGGTCTAAGTATCTGTTTTTATGCCAGTACCATATAGCTTTGTTACTATAGTTCAGTAGTATAATTGGAAGTAAGTCTTGGCGATGCCACCAGCATTGCTTTTTAGCTTAGAATTGCTTTGCCTATTCTGAGTCTTTCATTCTTTCAAATAAATTGTAGAACTGGTTTTTTTTTCCCTGTTCTATGAAGAATGCCATTGGTATTTTGATGGGAATTGCATTGAATCCGTATATTGCTTTGGGTAGAATGGCCCTTTTAACAATATTAGTTCTGCCATACATGAGTTCATGAACATAAGAGGTCTTTCCATCTTCCCATGTCTTCTTCAATTTCTTTCTTCAATGTTGCATAATTTTCATTGAAGAGGTCTTCCACCTTCTTGGTTAGATTTATCCCTAGGTTCTTGTTTTTTTTTTTTTTGTTGTTTTTTTTTTTTAATTTTGTTTTGTTTAAACTATTATGAATGGTATTGTTTTCCTGACTTTATTCTCAGCAAATTTATTATTGGTATATAGGAAATCTACTGATTTTTTGATGTTGATTTTGTAATCTGCTATTTCACCAAATTGTTTATTAGCTCAAACAGTCCTGGGTGGAGTTTATTGGATCTTCTAAATATAGGATCATATCATCTGCAAATAGTGACAATTTGACTCTTCCTTTTCTATTTTTATCCCTTTTATTTCCTTCTCTTGCCTAATTGCTTTGGCCAGAGGCCACTTTAAATAAGCATTAAACCATATTTTCATATTTTATGGTTTACAAAATATCTATCTCGTATGTTCTAATTAGAGTGTGGCTACTGTATAAACAGAGTAGCAAGGTGACTGAATTTTTCAGACGGGCTAGACACAGCCCACACAATATTCCTATGCTAGGATCAAGCCCACATTCTGTCCAGGTTACTTTCCTAAGTGACACTCTGCATTCCCTTGCTTTACCTCATCACCTTGATCTTCTAGGTATAATTTTCTCCATGTTCTTTTAAAATGTAGTTGCTCTATTATGATTATACCAATTACATATGCATTTTGAAAATAGTCTAGAGAACACGGGATGATATAAAGAAGAAAATAAATATTATTAAGTATCCTATTTACTAAGTTCTGATAATATTAGTATCTCATAGTATGTACTTCCTAGGACCTATGTATACATATATAATGGTTTCATAATATTTTATCAAATGTACATGTATACATGTACCATTTTTTATGTCTGCATTCCTATCCTAATTAATTCTGATTAATAGACATTTGCTGTTTGGTATATCTTCGACATTTATAAAACAGTTCAGTGAAAATCATTGATGGTTCATCTTTGTATATTTGCCTAACTTTCTAGAAGTGGAATTGCTGTTCACAGAGATACACTTTTTTAATGGTTTTTTGTATGTGCATTGATAAATTAGCCTGTAAAAAACGTGAGTCAACTTATACTCTCACAAGCAGAAAACAAGAACATCCCCATATCTTTGCCAACACTGAGAATTAGCAAACCTTTATTCTTTAACCAGATAATAGAAGAATAACTTGTTTTATTTTAATTTTTTTAATTGTTGAATGACCTTTTTAATTTATTTCTATGTGGTGCTGAAAATCCAACCCAGTACCTCATACATGCCAGACAAGGATGCTACCACTGAGCCCCAGCCCGAATAACTTGTTTTTTTTACCACTTCTGAAGAGGAACATCTTTGTATCAGTTTATTAGTAAGATGATTATATTTAATTTATTGTCCAATCTAGGGTATTTCAAGAATGAAAGGGGACATTAAATGGCGGGTAAGTCAACAGGCTCATGGTTGTGCTACTTCCTGGCCATTTGCATTTATTAGTTTGGGCATTACTTGTTTGTAGCTTTTACTTACTTTTTCCTAGTGGGTTGTTTGTTCTTTTCTTAATATTACAAAAGATTATGTTATAATAATATTAACTCTTTGTAATGTGTGTTAAATATACGTCTCTCTACCTATCATAAATGTAAAGGTTTTATATATAGGTTATTTTAATTTTAAAAGTAATAAAATAAGATTTTTTAAAGTTTGTTTCAGATGTCTTAAGCTTCTTTGATACAACTGTAGATTCACATGCAATTACAGAAAATAATGTAGGCAGATTCACTTTATATTCCACCTAGTTTCCTCCAATGGTACACCACAATAGTACACCACAGCCAGGCTCTGGGCCTACTTCCTCCCGTTGCTCCCTGTCTTTTCCCCCTACATTATTTTATTGGTGCCTTACAGTTGTACACAATGGTGGGATTTGTTGTTACATATTTGTACATGTACTCAATGTAGCAACTGTAATTTGGCCAATATCAGTCCTCAGCACTTCCCCCCTCCCTCTCCTCTTCCTACCCATCCCCCCCTCCCCGCCCTTTCCTCTATTTTACTAAATGCTCTTGGATTTTCATGAGATTCTTCTTGCCCTTTTGAAGCAACACTCGCCTCTCTTCTTCTCGCCTTTCCCCCAGCCTGTGACCTCAGCAACATTATCTGTTCCCCATTTCTACAACTTTGTCATTTCAAGAATGCTACATGAATGGAATCATATGGTGTGTAGTCTTCTGGTTTCCTTCTATGTGGTTTTATGTTTCATTTTGTTTTGACTCAGCATGATGCTCTGAAGACTCCATCAGGGTGTTGCTTGTGCCAAGAGTTTGTTCCTCTTTATGGCTGCTTTGGATGTATCCTAGTTGCTGAACCATTCACCCTTGGTGTTGTCACTTCTTTTTAGTCACTCAGATAGGTGTGTGGCGATATTTTGTTGCGGTTTTAATTTTCACTTCCCTAATGGGTTTTGATGTTGGACATCTTTTAATATACCCATTGTCATTTGTATATTCTTGATGAAATGTCTCCTTATATGTTTTTCCCATTTTCTCATTGAATTGTTCGTTTTTTGTACTGTTCAGTTTTGAGAATTCTTTGTTCAGATAATAACCCTTTGTCAGATGTGCAATTTACAAATATTTTCTTTCTTTCTTTTTTCTTTTCTTATTTATTTATTTAGTTTATGGCAGTGATTGAACCCTTACTAGTTTACTACTGAGCTACATCCTCAGTCCTTTTTATTTTTTTATTTTAAGACGGTCTCACTAAGTTGCCAAGGTTGGCCTTGAACTTGTGACCCTCCTGCCTCATCTCCCAAGCTGCTGAGATTACAGTGTGCTCCACCATGCCTGGCTATTTAAAAGTATGTTCTCATTATGTGATTTGACTTCTGCTTCTCTTAAGAGGATCTTTCAGAGAGTAAAGATTTTTACATTTGTAATTTATCAATTTTGCCTTCTATGGATTGTGACTTTTGGTCAAGTCTAATAACTCTTCGCTCTGGATCCTGAAGATATTCTCCTGTGGTATAGCTCTGTGGACCAGGCTGCTCAACATGGCAGGTGGATCCACCCAAGAGAGAGATAGTACATACCCATAATGGAGAGTATCTCATCTCAGAAGTGATAGTTCATCACATTTCTGCTGTATTATAGAGTCACGTGGACCAACTCTGGCATCACTTGGGAAGGTACAATGCAAGGTACCCTTGCATTCCCAGAGGCAAGGATCACTGGGGTCTTTTGCAGGGCTAGCTACCAAAGCCACAGAAATGGGAGCTGAACAAGAAAATTAAATATTAAAGCTATTGTTTTAATATTTGGACATTGTTTATTGCCTCATTATAGTCTAACATAAGCTAACTGATATACCTATATGTTTTTTTAAATAAACTTTTTAGCAGGCTTTTTATTGTTTTTGACTCACTTCTCCAAAAGATGAAAAATCCCCTTTATATTCTCTGGCTTTCTTGTACTACTGGCCTTGTCTTGAGTTTGGTTAGTTTTATTTATTTATTTTAAGGTTTTTCTATCAGCTATATGTAGAATGCTCAATTATGCATTTGGAGACTCTTTCAACATCTTTAGATAGCACTGGTTTACTCTCCAGTCAATAACTTCAAGGAAGAGTATTTTTTTAAAATATTTATTTACTTTTTAGTTGTGGTTGGACACAATATCTTTATTTTATTTATTTATTTTTATATGGTGCTGAGGACTGAACCCAGGGCCTCACACGTGCTAGGCAAATGCTCTACTGCTGAGCCACAACCCCAGCCCCAAGGAACAGTGTTTTAACACTTATCTTACATCCTCCTCCTCCAGATGTCTGTCAATGTTACCATTATTTTATATTTTCAAAGTTCTATTTTCTTTATCTTTAAGCCATGTTGTTGTTAAGAATCTAAGAAGCGCCATCTCCAGAGAGCAGGATCGATGAACGGTTCCTGTGTGTAGACCAAGAGTGTCCATCAGGGAAATGCGGGGAACGGATTCAATGTTGTTGGATTTCTAGGACATGAAGGACCACTGGAACAAAGAAAAACACCTCACCTAGGGTCACATGTAATCTCATTTGAATCCTTAGCCAGGTAGGCAACATCTGTCTCTCTCTGGCCAAAGTCCCAAAGCTACTACAGTCCAGGACATCAGTCTTGGTGTTTGTGCTGGGAGGGTTCCTGATTCCCCAGAGGAGCTCTCCTCATCAATTTGCATGAGTCAATCTAGTCACAATTAGTTCCTCTTTTTCAAGATGCCAGTGTGGAGCATGTTGCTGGGTACTATTCTTTGTCCCTTAGATGCTAGGATGGCAGGAAGAGGGTAGTCAAACATAATACAGGACAGTTACATTTCAATGCCCTATGAAGGGTCACCCACATGAACGTTTCCTGGTGCTGACCTAGATAGCTTTATCTGCTGCTCCCAAATCACCTGAAACCCAGACAATTTCAGTCCTGTCTCTCAGCCTGTATATACACAGTCTGCATTCTGTGTACTTGAACTTATCAAAACATTTGTACATCTTGTCTCTTTCACGACTAGACCCGTAGTCCATATTTCCTACATGCCAACTATGTGACAGAATCACTTTGCATCATCTCGTGCCCTCTCTCCTTTCTTTACAACAAGCCCCTACGGGAAGCGTCATTTATTATTGTTGTTGTTCCTATCTTCCTGATGAGGAAACTGAGTTTCCAAGAGTCCCTAAAGGCTAAGGGACTCACCAAGAAGGTGTTCCCTAAAACCCCTTGGCTTATTCTGGCTAAGTTTAAGTCCCTTTCTGAAGACAAACCATGCCTTGAATGTCTTGGAAGCCTCACCTGCCACTTGCTCCTCCTGCCAACGGTCATGTACCATATTCTCACTCCCACTGGAACTCTTAAGAAAGCAGAGTCCATATGGAAAGAGAGAGGAAATCATTCTCTCCAGCAGGATGGTGCCGTGGAGCCTCTGGAATTTGCTAGGGATCACATCTATGGGTAGAGACAAAAGTATAAAAGGTGGACAAATCCTACACTGTCAGAAAAAGAAAAAATGTGTTGTGGTTTGCCAGCCCAAGAATTCTCTCAGCCTCTATAATATAATTTATATTGGCAGATGCAATTTGAGTTCAAATCACTGACTTGGAAATGAACTTGCACAAAGCACACATTGGAGCCTGTGCCTCTCTTTCACCGTGAACCCATGAGTGCAACCATGCGCACCTTGCTCTTGCACTAGATGGCAAGGACACTAGGGGCAGGGATCATTTCTTTTGGTGACTCACAATTTCCCTGCAGTATTAGAGCACAGATCTGGCTAGAGGCTTTCTTTTAGTGGCAAAGAAAGCAAGAGAACTATCAATTACTTCTCTAGCATTTCTTGTAGTGCATGAGATTTGAAATCACTTGCAATCATTATTAACCACTAGCTAACCGCTACCATCATTTTTATTAGTGGTCTACATACCTTATCAGCTTTCAGCTTTCCTTTTGGGGGAAACTGAGGCTTACTTTACATCTTCCCAATTCCCTGAAAGAATCCAGAAAAATAACCCATTTAAGCAGACATGAACCCAAGGCCAAGCTTCAAGACTCGGTTTCTGCTGTAAATTATAGAAATAGCACAGATATCGTGGCCCTTGGCCGAAGACAATCTTGAGTTTCAATCTGGTGGTTAGAAAGAGGAACATCTTAATCTGAAATCTTACTTATTAAAAGATGAAACAAGTTCTTCCAAATTAAAAATGTATGTTGTTTCAGTAAAAGGGATTGCCAGATGACATTTGCACTGGAGTCTGCTCTTCCTCATGCCCTGGTTTCCCATTCTGGAGGTTGAAATCAGCCCTCGCATCCCACAGGTTCAGAAGAAAGCAGGCTGAGATGCCGTTTTCAGCTTTGGAAGAAAAACAAATCATGTTGTTGTCGAGGCTGTTACTGAGAACATCATGCTGTCAGCCCTACTGGCTTGGCCACAGTCAAAAGAATCAAACAAAGCTGTTTGCCATGAATCTCATCATTCTGGATTGCCCAGCTGGGTCCTCCCCCCACCCTACCCAATGCCATTCGCAATTCCAATGCCCTAGAATTTGTTCCAGGAACAAGTTAAAATTCTTGCTAATTTCAGACATCAGCACTGCAAGTCCTTTCTTTCTTTCTTTCTTTCTTTTTTCCTCCTCTTTTCAATTTTTTCAGAAAAGAAATTCTGGTTGCTGGAAGACTCTAGGTAGACAAGTCCAGAGTTGAAAGCCCCCAGGAAAAGAGGGAAATGGGCTGATCAATTTGCAGGACTGGAGGATATACATGAATTGTAGGCCACTGAGCAGATAGCTAATTGCCTCTCAGGGCACAGAGGCCCTGGGGCCCCAGGCTTGGCTCTGACACCTGTCACCATTCCTGAGTGGACCCAAGGGAGTAAGTCTTCTCAATAAAGGCATTAGGGTCCTCCCTGTTAATCTCTTGCCTTAGGGCCTGTACCAAGTCTCATATTCATTATACTGTCAATTTCTTCACCTTTGAGGCAGAATAGGAATGCGATAATTGTCCCATAGAATTGAAAAAACACAGAAGCTAATGAGTGTAAACAATGTTATTTAACAGTCCATTGGATGGGGGAAAATGTACTGGCACTTTTATGACATTCGTTTTGAGCAGGTGTGTGCATAGGTGTATGTATTTGAGTATGTAAGAGGAAAGAGACTATATTTTCTCTTTTTGAAATTTGTTTTAACTTTAAAAAAAATACCATTTGCTAGAACATTCTTCCAAGAAACTGCCAGAAGAAAATACTAAAGTCAGTACCAGGTAAGCGACATCATTGAAAAAGCAATACCTTGGGAGGCAGAAATAATGAAATTTGAATTCTTGCTCACTCTTACAGACTGTGATTTGAAGCAAGTGACTTTATATCTTTGAACGCTCATTTCTAACCCACCTTTAGGGAATGGGTTAGAAACTGTAATAAAGCCTACTTGATAGAATGGATGTGAGCATAAAATAAACGAGAATATATAAAATGCACAGCAAAGAACCTGGTATGTAGTAGAGGCTTAAGAACTATAATGGCCAGCATCTATTTAGCTTTTATATGGCAAAGGCTGGCTTCTGTACTTTACCTAAATGACATTATTTAATCCAAAATGTAGGTAATAAAATTATCCCCATGATGGGAAAAGTGAGGCTTAGGGGGGCTGTGTTTTCTTTAGTATATATGGAGTCTGCTCTGCCTCATGCCCTTGTTTCCCATTCTGGAGGGAAACTATATACATATATATGTATATACATAATTTTAACTTAATTTTCAAAACTTAAAAATTGGGGAAGATCTCACAATTTTGGATCCTTTCCTTCTAAGAGTCTGCAGCTATGGTCTCCAGTCCTTGTTTGTGTCCTTACAGGGCCATGATGGGCTAAAGTTGTACAGTGACCATTGCCTTTGGGCAATTAGGTGTTCATGAAGGTCCTGGTCACTCCTCAACCTCACACGTTCACGTCTTCACTGGGCCTCCAGAGGCACCTGAGGGTGGCCTGTCTTCCATTGCCTTTCCATCCACCTCCCTCACCAAAGTCGTAGAGTTGTTGAGCAAACAATCCAATACCCACGGGGTTCCTTTGTGGAGTAAAAATGCCCATGTTCACTCCCATCTCTGTTGAATTCTAGTTATTCCTGCTTGATGCAGTTTCCAGTGCAACGTCAATGACACACACCATGCAACTGCATTCTGAGAGGGCTCCCCTGATGCTCCCCCCTGCACTGAAAAGTCTGGAAAGATCCAGAAATACCCCTGTCTCTGGGAGCATACCATCAGTTGGGTTACCTTTTTCCTCCTTTTTGCATTCCCAGGAAACTGTCTTAGACCAAGGTCTCCTCATTCTGTCTTCCTGAATTACCTCCCACCTGTCCCCCTGATGTAACCCTCTCACCCCAACTCCCGATCCATTCAACACATCTCACAACAATCTCCTATCCATCTTTAGCAAATCTTCCTTCATAGTCAGGGGCAGTTTCTTGGGTGCGAGACCTGTGCAATTACATAAAATCCCTGCTTAGAAGTCACCTCACTTGGTTGAATGCTCTGCTATTGCATCTTGAAATTCCTAATGATTTCTGTACCAAGGGCCCACGTTTTTATTTTGTACTCAGGCTAGCAAGTACATAGCTGATCTTACTCATGTTTTAATTCAAGAAGTTTTAATGACTCCTAACCTTATTAGTTTTTCCCAGTCTATGTTAAACCATGACACACAAAGAAATAATATTTCTATGCTATAGTAGATTGCCCTGAATCCCTATGCTGGAGAAAATAGACACCATGGCAAACTATGACTGTAGATTGACCTGAAGCCCTAAGGCCAGCCATGCTAGAGAAAGATGCCATGGCATACTATGACTGTTGAGCATCATAGAAGCTGCTGAGTATACCTGTGAGGAAGTTCTGTCTTGCAGGAGAAAGTCCCAAGAGTTCACCTTAGTGCTCGTCCAGCTTTATTTCAGAACTTTCTCCTATAGTCAGGCTAATCTCATGTTATGTCCATTCTCATTTTCAGGCCCTCACTAATGTGGTTCCAGTTGCTGGGAATGATCACTCCCTTCTTGATGTTACCCAAATCCTGCCCATTTTGTCACAGCAGCTCAAGTCCAACTCCTCCCAAAGCTCATCCTGTGTGTATCAGCCAACAGCATTTCATTCTTGTATCAAAGGACAATGGATTGCTTTGTCAGTAGCAGGTACTGGGCCATGGTGGAGGATACAATTGGAAGCAACACATGCATTCTCCTGCCCTCATGAAAAGCTCACTGAAGTTAGGCACACATACAAGGCCACTTTAGTGCAGTGTGATCAGAAGTAAAGAGAGAATGTTTTTGATTCTGAGGGTTTCTGTAGCAAATTACCACAAGCTTGGTGGCTTATAATAACAGAAATATATTTTCTTACAGTTCTGGAGAATTCTAGTCCAAATTCAAGGTGTCAACAGGACCACATGCCCTCTGGCACCAGGGATGAATCCTTCCTTGACTCTTGAAACTTCTGGTGACTCCTGGTTTCTTGACTTGTGAGAGATTACTCCAATCTTTATCTCCTTCATACGTCTTTTTCCACTTCTCTCTGTTTCTCTTCTGTATGTCTCTTATAAAGACTCTTGTCATTGTGTTTAAGGTCTACCTGGATATTTCAGATGATGCAACAAGATTTTTTTACTTGTTTATATCTATGAAGATGCCTTTTCCAACTAAGGTAACATTTTCATGTCCCAGGGATTAGGATAGGGACATCTCTTTGGGGGCCCACTATTTGACCCACTTACCTACTCCTTTGTGGGAGGGACAGCTAACTTTGCACAAGGGAATTTGAGGAAGTCTTTTTGGATAAAATAACATCTAAACTGTGCAAATCAGGCAAAGAGGGTGGGGACGTGAAAATGTTTCTGGAAACAACATGTGTAAAGATCCCAATACAAAGTTAAGCATGCTGGATTCCTGGAACTAAATGAAGCTAAGTGTGTCTGGAGAATAACATACAAAGTACAAAGGATAAGAAAAGCATCTAGAGAAGTAATCAGGGCCAAATCAAGAGGAGCGTAACCACAGATAATCACTTGGACCACTGTAATGCGGGCACTAAAAGGTATTACAAAATGGAAAGGCATTATCAGATTTGAGAGGATTGCATAGTTGGAGTGCAGGGAATGGACTGGGGAGGGCTGAGACTGGAACTAAGGAAACTGGATAGGAACCAGTTATATCATCCAGGCTGTGCATTTTAAATTAGGATAATGTGGAAGGGAAGGGGAGAGGGTCAATAAATTTAAGAGATTATTGAGGACAGAATCCACAGGGCTGGTGACTGATGGGCTGTCAGTGGGAAGTCAGAATGAGGCCCAGTTTCCTGGTTTCTGGTGGCATAGCATTGCCACTGCTGAGTTGGGAACCAAGGCGCAGCTTGGGTGGGCACCACAGGAATGAGTTTGCACTATCCTGAGGACAGACAGTTGGAGGCTCTTAGTGGACACTTGAATTCAAGTCTGAGACTCAGAAGGGAGGGCCAGGGCTGGAATCAGAGGCTTGGAAATGGTCAGTACATGGATCATATGCTAAGTCATGTAGTAGACAACCACACTTAGAAGGGCAGAATGAAAAGAGAATCGAGTGAAAACAGATCAGGGCCCAGGAAAGAATGCTTGGGAACAATTGCATTTATGTGAAGGGCAGAGGGCAGGGCACTGTGGCAAAAGGCAGAAAACAGGGCAATAGCTGATACAGTCATCCTTTGTATCCATGAGGGATTGGTTCCAGGACCCCCAAGTCTACAGATGCTCAAGTTCCTTATATAAAAAGGTATAGTATTTGCATATAACTTATGTACATCTGCCCATATACTTTAAATCATCTCTAAGTTACTTATAATACCTAATATAAATGCTATGTAAATAGTTGTTATACTATATTGTTTGAGAAATAATGACAAGAGAAAAAATGTCTACATATGTTCAGTACAGACACAATTTTTTTTCCTGAATATTTTCCATCCGTGGTTGGTTGGATTCCATGGATACAGAGGCCCAACTGTATTTAGTTATGTGTGATTTTTACCACACAATTGGAAACTTATTGTCAATTCTCTGTCACTCATTTTATATTTTACTGAACAATTCAAGCACAATATTATTTCTCTGTTCTGCTTTTTTGGTCTTTATTTTGTATACGTGGGAACCGGAGCAAGGACTCAGAACGGGGGCCCATCTGGGAATTAGAACTGAACAAATGCCTAGGGATTAATTGTTCAGTGTCTGTGTTAGAAAATAGGAGGAGGGAAAATTTCCAGTGTCCTCTGATCCCTCACCGAAACCTATGGCCCAATGTCATCATCAACTAACATTCTATGTACTTCTTTCCTTCTTCCCTTACAATTAAGCTTCTCCAAAATAAATAGCATCTTTTTGTTTGTTTGATTTTGCTGAAGGTGTTTATATATCCCCCCACCATGTGCTCCTTTCCAGCTAGTTAAATCCTATATAGAAGCACCATTCAGTATGTATAACATCCTGCAATAATGGAAATGTCTATAACTGTATAATAAAAATATGGCAGTCACTTGCTGCGGATGACTATTGATCACTTGAACATGGATAGTGCACCTAAGCAGCTGAACTTTTCATTGTAGTTTTAGTTAATTTAAATTAAATATCTATATGTGGTCAATGGCTACTGTGTTGAAGAACATAGCTCTACAACCGTCCATGAATTCAGAACTCACTTTCTCAAGGAACATTCCCTGAATTCCTCTCCCCAAATCAGGCCTGATCTTCCTGCTCTGTGCTGTCCAGAACCTTGTACTTTCATTTGCTAATGAGGATTATCATTTGGAATAATTTTGTGTTTTTACTGGTTTAATAATTTTGTGATTTTACTAGTCAATCTCCCCTGATAGACTGGGCTCTGGCCATGTCAATCTCGGTTACTATTGTGTTTTTAGCACCTAGTTCAGTGTATGGTATGTACTTTGTGCTCAGTTAATATTTACTAAAAGAGTGAATGATCAAATAAATTGTTAAAATATTTCACTGGATTATGCACCAAATATATCTTCATTCAATTATAGCCATGGCTTGTAACCATATAATAGATAATTCTGTAATCATACAATAGATAACTAGCTCCAGTCAATAGAAATTAGGCCAGACAGACCTGCTCAATTTGGGCCATGTGAAATTTGTGGTGTTGGATCTTGTGCTCTGACCTTATCATCCACCGCAGACCTGAAGGCTCTTCTGATTCATGATGGCCCACTACATCTCTCTTGCCCTATGAAGTTAGTAGTAAAATCATTCACATTTCTCATTAGCAGTTTTCACTCTTCCCTGAATCTGACATCACTGTTCATCCTCTTGAAGTTGCTGAAAATCCTGAGTCTGTAACAGTGTATTGGTCTCCAGTTCCTGCTTTGCATTCTTTTGGTGTTTATTTTACATATTCCCAAAGCTCTTCCTCCAGTTAATTTTTAAACATTGGCTATGTCAGGAACCATGACCCAGCACTAAAGATCTCTCTCCAGAAGCAAGTCAGCACTCTTTGGCTATGTTCTTTTAATAGCTAAGTAGCCCTCACCCAGGATGGAACTCCAGCCCGTCAGAAGCTCTGGGCTTACTGGAACATTCGGGGGATCTCTTGCAACGTTCCTTAACTATCTTTGGCTCCAGCCTCTTCTTAGATAAGGAAAGCTAAGTGGAAACTGTGGGCCTGGATGAATCCATCTCCTACACCCTGGGCCAGCATAACACCAGGGTCCTGTGCCTAAGTTTCATTGCAAATCAACAAGCAGGGTTCTAAACTGTCTCCATGTGAGAGCAAAGACCAACATTGTAAAACCCAGTTGGCAGTTCAATTAAGGTCAGGTAAGTCTGACAGTCATTGTGGGAACCCAAATGGAGCTGGGGAAGCTAATGAGCAGGATGTTCAAAGGGGTGGTGGGGAAAAGTCTATCAGTTCTTACTATCTGCTCCATTGTGGTGGGTTCTGGAAGCTGGAAAGAAAAAAATTATGATAAAGATGAGAGGGAGGAAGAGGCCACCTGGGCATGGATTTGATTCAGAAGAGGCAAAAGAAGCACTAGTCTTTAATTCCAAGTCAAACAAGAGGAGCATGCTCTGCATAAAGCTAAAGGAAAAAGGCTTTAGTATATATCCCAGGGTCCAAGACAGTGGACAGATGCCTTCCTGTCCTCCTCAGGCCCATGTCAGACAAGCTTCTAGGGACAGCTGCTGCCAGCTTCCCATCATGGAAAGAAGTAACAGCATCACCCCTGGGCTCCACCTTCTGAAGCCTTGCCCACTCCAGGAATGGCAAACAGTCCTCCTATTGCCAAAAAGCCACTGACCCTGCCCCTCCACTTCATGGAAGGGCCATTCACAGGAGAACTTTCCTCACTTTTCCTGCCTGTTACATCGCTGCTGCTTTCTTGAATCTTTCATAATCCTAAAAGCTACTGACAGACAAGAAACAAGTAACTTGGTGTTGGATCAACCAAAAGTGGCCTAATTTACAATTGCAAACACGAGAGTATGGTCACTTCTCAGGGGTGTTTGTGACAGATTGGGCAATCACTAGAAGACAGGCAGGGAGCTGGGGATGTAGCTCAGTGGTAGGATGCTTGCCTAGCAAGTGTGGGGCCCTGGGCTCCATTCCTAGTACTGCCAAAAAATAAAATAAAATAACAAAAGAAGAGAACAGACCTGGGTAGAGGAGATGGCAAGTACCACAACTGATATAGCCAGTGGATTCACATGTGGCTAAAGATGAGACAAGGGAGCACTTGAAGTTAATGAATAAAACCCTGCACAGGTCTGAGAATGCCCAAGCCTGTACTGACCTGTCATATTTCTGCAGTGTTTGTGGTATCTGCCAGCTCAGTGATCCAGGTACCAATGAAGAACAGCCTGTGCAGTCCCCTGGAACTCACTGTCCAGATTTACTCTGCAGTTTCACCTCAAAAACAAAACAAAACATGGATTTAACAGATATCAAACCTTGGACTGGGGTTGTGGCTCAGTGGTAGAGCACTTGCTTAGTATGTGTGAGACACTGGGTTCAATTATCAGCATCACATGAAAATAAATAAAATAAAGGTATCTACAACTAAAAATATTTTTTAAAAAACACAAATATCAAACTTTTCAGAAATCTGGTTTTTGACCTCTGGGATGCATCTTTAATGCTAAGCCACCAAATGTTTTCCAAAGCCCAAATCCTAATAAGAAACACTATTAAAAAATTACCTGCAGCATTCCAGCTGCTTGCACATAAACTGTGTCACTTAATTGTATTCCAAACTCTCTCCATCTGCCTCTCTTAATGTCAGAGGTAACTGCTCATGCAAGTCAAGATTTCTGCCTCTATCTCTGAGCAGATTTTCCTGTTCATCCACACAAAACCCAAATGAACTTGCAAATGTATCAGTTTGAGCAAGTCATTCCCCTTCTTAAAACTTTTATATGTTCCTAATGTCTCTGTGACAAGGGTTACTCTCAGCTTTCAAGGCCCTGTGATGCTGACCCCCCTCCACATCAGCACCCTTCATACACCCAATCAGGAGAAGGCACACTGCTTCACCTTGCACCCTCCCTGGGGCTGCCCTGTAGTTCTGATTCCTTCTTTGTAGAAGGAATCAGAAGGCCACCAGCACCCTGCTTTTCTCCCTCAAGTTTTTCCTGGCTTCACCCATAACAGCTGCACCCCCAGTGAGACAAACTGAGCAGTTTGTGCCTCTTTATCTTGGTGCATCTGCTACACTCCTGTCATCATTTACATTCCTCATTCTCAATGGGGAGGTGTCTCCCTAAGGGAGCCAGAAGTGGTTCTTGGCAGGGGAGAGACTGGAAATTTTTGCTTTTTATTATAAAGCACAGATATGCACAAGATACATAAACAAATATTGTGTTGTGGTTTGGATATGCAGTGTTCCCCAAAATCCCCTGTGTTAATGCAGGAATATTCAGAAATGAAATGATGCATTGTGAGAGTTATAAGGTAGTTTGTTTATCCTAGTTTGGATAGACTGACCGGGTGGTAACTGTAGGTAGATGGGGCATGGCTGGAGATGGCAGGTAACTGGGGGCATGTCCTGGAAGGGTTCATCTTCCCTGTATCCCCATCCACTTGCCCTCTCTGCATCCTGGCCACCATGAGTAGAACAACACTCCTCTACCATGCCCTTCCATCATGATGTTTTGCCTCTTATTGGGCCCAGAGCAATGGAGTTGGCCAACAATGGACTGAACCTCTGAAATAAATGTTTCCTCTTCTAAGTTGTTCTTGTCAGGTATTTTGGTCATAGTGATGAAAAACTGACTAACATAGTGCCTGTGGTATTAAAATTTCATGGGTGGATGAGGGAGATTGTTTTTAAAAATATCAGAGGCAAATAATTTTTAAAAGGCTGAGAAATATGCAGCAAATCACCAGCTGGACTGTGAGTTCTTTGTGAAAATCCCCACCAATGGAGGTTCTGACACACAGAGTAGTTTTGAATAAATGTTAAATGTTGAAAGTTGAATGAAGGTGGGGTTGTAGCTTAGTGGTAGAGCATGTGCCTAGCATGTGTGAGGCACTAGGTTCAATCCTCAGCACCACATAAAAATAAATAAATAAAATAAAGGCATTATGTTCATCTACAACTAAAAAAATTTTTTAAAAAAAAAAAAAAAAAAGAAAGTTGAATGAAAGCAGGCATCAATGAATTCTCCCAATAATTCTGAGGGGTGGTATTACTGTCCATGGGGAAAGATAAGGAAACAGGTATTAAATGACTAATTACACCATCAAAGTTCCAGTTAATTAGTGCTTAAGTATAAACATTTTAAATTCAAGACATTAGGCTTCATATCTAATACTTGCTCACTTTATTTTGGTAGACTTGATAGAATTTACACAAAAACAGGAGACTATATTTTGCAATTTGCCTTCAACAAAGAATGTTCTGGCTGGACTATCCTAAGTCAATTGGAATATCTAAGAACAAGCTTCACAAATCAAATTTGGGATCACATTCTTAACATGGATAGTGCACCTGAGCAGCTGAACTTTAAATCGTAGTTTTAGTTAATTTAAATTAAATACCTGTATGTGGTCAATGGCTACTGTGTTGAAGAATGTAGCTCTACAACACTATAATGGACTTTTAGTGGGAATGATGACCTTCTACTCCACTTGCAAAAGGGAGAATCTAAGGCTTACTCAGATGCAGCTAGAGCTACCCACTTAGCTTCTCACTCCAAATTTTGAAGTTAATCTAATTAAATTAATTTTTTTAAAAAAATCTAGCTTTGAGCCTTTCTTGTGTACTCAAATGAACAGCACAGGGCTACTTTGCCCTGCAAAGGTGGGATAGTGGAATAAGAAAATAATATATATAATTATAATTCACGTTTTAACAAGTTCATCATCGTCATGAGACATACGAAATTCTAAGCCAGGAGATGAGCTACAATGGGGAGATAATGAGGATGAGAATGTTATTAGTAAAAATGCTTTCCTTGTTGAAAGCAAAGCAAAGTGACATCTATAAAATGGTTTTATGGGTCAATTTGTTGAAGCAGAAGGAGTTGAGTAGCTCAGAGCCATGCTTTATTCTTTGCAAGGTCAAGATGAGGTTTGAAATTTGATTTATGAGTATGTTTGTTAAATCAAACTTTCCTCATTTTCTACTCCAGAGCTTACGAGCAGAAGTGACGCACTGGGAAAAATCCCCGCTGAGTGGCAGTTCATTCTAGGTCATAGCATTTTGCTTTTGAGTATAAATACTTCAGATAGACATAAAAAGCTCATTAACCATACATGTAAAATTCAATGAATTTTTACAAAAAGAACAAACCCTTTTAACCACCACCCAGATGAAGAACAGTTCTGCATCTCCACAGTCCTCCTGTGGCCCCTCTAGTTTTGCTTCATTTTGAACTTAAAAAAAAATGGAATGATATAGTAGATACTCTTTGTGTTTGACTCCCTTTGCTAAATGTATGATGTGTTTGTGAGATGCATCCAAGTTTTTCTCATGTTTCAATACTTTGCTCATTATCATTGTTGTACAAATTTCATTGTATGGCTATACCATCTTTCTTTCCCCATTTGGTTGTCAAATATTTGGGCTGTTTCTGCCTTTTGGTTATTGTGCATAGTATTGCTATAAATATTCTGCTCACATGTCTTCTGATAAGCATATGTGCTCATATTTACCTAGGAGTGGAAGTGCTATTTCATATGATATACATATGTTCTGCTTTAGTGGGCTCAATGAGATAGATTTGAAAGGTGATTGTACCGACTGCATACTTGCATCATATACTAAGCATGTGCAGAGGCCCAGACGTTCCAAATTATCATCATTGCTTAGTTTTGAATATTTTTATTTTAACCATTCCAGTGGCTGTGTTTTAAGAGATCAGGATTTTAATTTTAATTTTCTTGATGAGTAAGGATGGTTAGAAGCATCTTTCCATGTGTTTATTGGCCATTCAGATTTCTTCTTTTATAAACTGTCTCCACAAGTCTTTTGCATATTTTTCTACTGAGGTTTCCATATTTTCTTAATAATTTATAGGAGATCTTTCTATAGTTGATTATAAGTCCTTTTCAGATACGTGACATAATGTTTTCTCATCTTAATGGTGTCTTTTGATAAAAAACAAATTCTTATTTTTTTTTCTTTTTTCTTTTTCTTTTTTTTTTTTCTTTTTTTAATTTTTTTATTGTTGGTTGTTCAAAACATTACAAATTTCTTGACATATCATATTCCACACTTTGATAAAGTACTAGCAAGGGGGCACCCGGATTTACAAATTCTTATTTTTAAGGTAGTCTAATTTTTCAATTTTATGTTTAATATACTTTATGTGCTATTTCTGAAAATTTTTGCCTTTTTCACTGTTAGGAAGATAATTTTTGCAGCATAATGTTGAGTGGTCCAATCTATGAGCAGAAGCTATACTTTCATCTATTTAGGGCTTCTTTTTCATCAGCTTTATTGAGGTAAAACTGTACATGTCCAAGGTATACGATGTGATGTTTTAATGTACATATAAATTTTGTCAACAAAAGAGGATATCATCACCATCAGCTAATTAATCAAGCTAATTAATATAGCCATAACCTCACACAGTTACCTTTTGTGGGTGATAAGAACATTCAGGATCCATTTAGATCTCCTTCAGTTTAATCTCAGTTACAACCTCTAATTTTTAGTGTTCAGATTTTTCACATTTTTAAAATCAGATTACGAATTTTGTTGGATTTGAGCAAATACCAAGTACTTTGAGCAAATATCAAGTATCTATTTTTCAAACTGCAAGAGATACAAAATAAAAGGAAGCCTGAAATACATGCCCTGACTTCAAGATGCTTCCGGAAAACTGTAAGACACAAAGTCTTTGTATGATAGTAGAGACAGAGGAAAAAGAGAAGCAAGAAATCAATGTGGGTTGAAATTGTTGACAGGGATGCTTTGCAGAGCATGTAAGGCCAGAGATGGGTTTGAGGGATGAAGGGCATTTGGAGAATAGAGGGAAGTATCTCAAGAGGAAAATCTGGGATGAGCCAAAGATTTGAGGTTAGAATGAATATGGCATGTTAAATGTCAAAGATGACACTGGTGAACTCAAGTGTCTATGCTCTGATTCATGAACAGGGGGAGATGAGATAAAGTCTTGGACTTAGAGGCACTTAAAAGTCCACACTGGTGGTGAAGTGTGGTATCCTGGCTCCTGGAAGGTAAAACTCGGCACATACTTACCTGTCCTTGCTTGACACTTATTGGCAACCATATAGATGCTTTCAACAACTTCCTGATAGGAACTCATAGAAACTCCCAAACTCACACTTGAACCAGAGGACCTATCCAAGAAGGCTACAAATCTGGAAATAAACTACATTCTTAAAGAATGTATAATCCAGGGAAACTTTCACTGTGAGCCAGGACTCAAGGACCAATCAAA